TCTGCGTGAGCTCAGACTGCCCTCCCGGCTCATCCCACAGGCCTGGACGGTCCAGTTCTCAAGTACGCTTGCCAGCCTGACAGGCACACGTCATAGAATAACAGCATTACGAGTTCTGCAACGTCCAAGCCGTCACACAACAACCCGGCGCTTGGCTGGACTCCCACGCAGCCCCCCAGCAGGTGGCCACAGGTCACTGACTTAGACGCCAAGGTGCTGGGTCTCCTGCAGGTCCCCAGTCACTGTGTGCAGGATCCGGGCAGGAGCCCCTCCTGTGTTCCCCCTCCTCCTGATTTTCCTCAGCACTTTGAACGGCTCTGCCAAGAATGAGGAACAGGTACAACCGAGATCTTTCAGGGAAAAACAAAACCACCTGTTAAATGGCCAGAGCTTTATGAAAGGTAACACGAGTCATTAAAAACACTTCCTTGTAATGTTGAGTGGGATTCAGTGTTGTACCCAAAGCTGTTCGTGTCTTAGAAAGCAGTGCTTGTATGAGGAGAAAAGAAAAAACCCCACAGACTTTGTCACAGAAAATCCGTGCAGTAACTTCTGAGTAACATTTGCACTGCTTGCTCTGAATAATATCCCGGTTTTTCTAAATACAGAGGACCTGGCAGCTGCACGGGGTGTGCGGGGTCCCGTGGGCCCTGGAAGGATGGACACAGTGCCTGAGCTGCTCTCGGGGACGCAGGTTAGGCCTGCCCTTCTGAGGGTCCTCCGTTGACAGACCTCAGGGAGGGGAGCCGCTTCCCTTTACAGAGAAACAGGAAGAAACTCACTGTCCTCAAAAGGGCAGAAGAACCAGACCGGTCTTCTCCAGTCAGACAAAACTTGAGAGGCTGACAGAGTTCGTCTCCATACTGGGTTTCTGTCCTGTCTTCCTATCAAAGAACCCAAAACACTTGGTTTCTGAGACCTCACTGAAGGCTGCCGCTTATTTAAGTTTTCAGCTGTGGAAAGTATGGCCTTGCAAAAGTGTACACATGTGAAAAGACACAAAACTAAAGTGCGGCCCCACCTCCTGAGAGCAGGCTGAGGAGGGCCGGGCCGGGCCTGCTGCGGCGGGAGTGTCCCCAGCGTCGTGCGCTCGGTGCCGAGAGCAGGGGCGGGTGCTACGTCTCACCTGACCTCTGGTGAGGAAGACCTTTCCCAGGCTTGGGAGTCCGACACCTGCGCTCAGGCCTCTCGGCGCCGTCCAGGATCCCCTCTCAGAATGGCAGGGATGAAGGAGCGCCCACGATCACAGGTGGACAAGATGGGTGTGCAGATGCGTGCAGTGAAAACCTCTGGAGGAAGTCGGTTCTCAGCAGCACCTCCCAAGTCTTCTAAGGGTGGGGCTACAGCACCAGGGCGCCGGGACCCTCGTTAGTTCCGGCTGAGTGGAGGAAATGCTGGGGCGACAGGTAAAATCTGTTCATAAAGCAAATTCCTGTTCAACGTGAAACACCCAGAGCTCACTGTCCAGGACTTTGGGGGGTGAGACATTCCGTACTGCCATTTCCAGAGGAGAGAAGCTTCCAGTTAAGGTGCCAGATCTTTTTTCCTTCTAGTAGTTCATTCTTTTTAAGTATCATACTACACACTTTCCAGTCCTTTGTAAAACTCTGGCAACAGTTAAATTTTCTCCCCTTTCTAGGTGATAAAGGTGTCTGGTATTTTTGTTTTATGAAATTGCATCTTGAAAGTAAGCTTCTTGAGAACGATGATGAGCAAACTTCTTTTCAGGAAAGAGAACTGCTGGCGGGCTGTGTTCATTTTACTCTCTAATGGAAAACAGCCTTGAGTCCCTGGAGAAGACCGCGTCAGGAGCGAGCGGCGGCGGGAAGCCTGGCTCGTGGTGCTCCGGCGGGACGCCGCGTCCTCAGGGAGGAGCGGGCGCCAGTTCCTTTGCGAGGAGAAAGCGCACGGCTGCCTGCCTGCTCCTCCCAGCGGGGGACACCCCGGGGCGCCCGCGCAGGTCTCACTGGCTAGAGCTGGGGGACCCTGGCACCTGGCACCCAGCTGGAGAGGAGGTTCCAGGGTGAGCGCTCACCATCCAGCCCCTCGGAGGGGGCAGGCACTGTGCCGCCTCACCCAGAGGATGTGGAGGGGGCTGACAGGCGCAGTGATGGAAAGATGGTGTTTCCTTCGCAGAGAAACGGCATTAAATAGACGTCTCTGAGAGTGCTGACACCGTAGGTCTTGTCTCGTGGCCCTCATCTGTCAGAACTGCTCTCAAGCAGTTAGTTCCCTCTCTTCCCGAGCCTGGCCTGCATGAGGCCTCGGTGCCCAGCTGTCGGGTCAGTGAGCCGCTGCCTGTGTCTGGACACCGTGAATGACAGGCTGCCCGTGACTGGTCAGAGGCTGGGCCTTCCCTCGTCCTCGGTCTCCGCCGGTCACCCCAGCACAGCCATCGCTTCGTCCCAGAAAGCCACATGCTGGCTCTCACGTGCCATGGCACAAGCCTGCGAGGCACGCTGCGGCCAGCACGGTCACCTGGAACACTGGCCCTCAGACCTGCTTAGGCCCCGGCAGCACGTCAGAGCGGAGGAGGCCGCGAGCCCAGCGCACTTGCACTGCAGTGATGCAGGTGTTCACAGAGCCGTCAGGTGGCGTGAGCCTGTCCAGCCGTCCCGCTGGTCTGTCGGGCTCGGCTTAGCTGCAGGTGCTCGCAGGTCCCAGATGAAGGAGAAAACGTTTACAGGAAGATATCACCGCTGTGAAGAGCCGACCCAGGGAACCTTTTCCTCCTTGGGGACGTGGGGACACTCCCCATGCTGGGGGAGTGCCGGGAGCACCCTGGGCTCGCAGTCACCCGCGACTCCCTGTCCACAGCCCCCCGAGGGCCTGTTCTCTGCCAACGCAGACACCGGCTCAACCTCCGCATACGTGTGCTTCCTTCCTTCTGGAGTTTGGCAGCTGAATTGCTGCCTGGGAGCTTGGGTGCTCGCAGGGAGAGTCCGGAGGACGCTGCGTGGCGGGGGCTGAGGTGGGACGGTGAGATGCAGAGCAGAGACCCTCGCCGTCCTGTCCTGCCTACTCACACCAGCCCGAAGCTCAGACCTGGTTCCGAACCAGACGGCGGCTGTCACCACGTGCTGATGCCCAGCACTGCCGGGGGTCGTTGCTCGGCTGGTTGAGCTTTTGCAGTGCATTTCCTGGCCACCTCTGCCTGCAAGCCCCGGATGCTGCTGCCGACCACCTGTTCCCCAAGATTCCTGAGGTCAGACCTCAAAGGATAACTGATGAAGACACGTGAATAAAATGCTCTTTTGACCTAATCAGGAGCACTGCTCACGTCTACGGGCAGACGAAACCCAACTCTGTGCGCGGACCCTGCCCTTCTGGGAGGGCCGGAGATCCCCCAGGGGCAGTAGGGGCAGAACAGGGCAAACCTGGCCTGACGAGGTGCATGCTCGGAGGAGGGACACGAAGCCACAGTCATGGCACCCCAAAAGCTGCCCGAGCCTGGCAGAGGCCCGCCCAGCAGATCCCCAGGGCACCTGTCACGCTGCCCTCGATGACACGCTCACAGACCATTCTGGAGACAGTGCCAGTCTACATGGTGGGGGCGTCTGGTGACAGAATTAAAGGAGCTAATGTTCTCTGCTTTTAAAAACGTGGGAGGATAGCGGTGAAGGAGGGATTGGCGTGGTGTGAGACTCTGAACAGCTCGTGAGCGGGGAGGGCCCACTGCAGCCAGGAGCTCTGAGACCATCCAGTGAGAAGACGGCACGGGAGCTGCACTTCCTACACACCCCAGGGCCTCTGTCCTGCCGTTCCAGGACTTTCTCCAAATGACCTCGTGCGTTCACTTAATCTAAAAACTGAGCAAGATGATTTCTACGTTTCCACGCCCGAAGCACCCACGTACCCGAGACAGTGGTGCTCACCCAAGCAGTGAGGCCAGGAGGCCTTCCCTGCACCGCGCCTGGGCTGGCTCCCGCCTGGTGGCCTTTGTTCACACTCCCCACCCTAACGGGATGAGGAGTTTTCATGGGGCCGTCATAGAACCCCGGTTTCAGAGGTTTTCAAGAAGTGCTGTGGAGCGTCTGGTGGCGCTTAAAGAGTTGTTATTCAGACCACTAAGGAAGCAGAGCCGTCGGTCCAGGCCCGGCGCAGGCGCCCCCAGTGCCGCACGGCCTGAGACCTCAGGTGAACTGAAGGAGGCTTAGGAGCACCTCACGAACGGCCAGTTCTTATCTGGTTCCAACATCTGCTCTAACCTTCTCGACTTAACACAGGGTCTCCTGTCAACGGTATTCTCGGAGGGAAAAACTCTCTTCATTATTTGTGATCACAGTCTGAAACCACAGGCTGCAGGTCAGCATCTACCGAGTATGAAAGGACCAGGGTTCCTGGTGACCAAGAAAGAAGCGAGCGTAGGAAGGAATGAGAGGGGCCGGGTTTTGTGCAAGATTTAATAAAAAACAAACAAAAATAGGAGTGGCTGCTTTCAACATTTTCCAGGTTGTGAAAGGTTTACCACGAGCATCTGGGGTGTGGTTCTAAGCGGCATTAGTGGAACAAATACAAAATGCTGTCCTCCTCTGAAGCCCAAAGGTGGTACATCCAAGGTTCTAGGCCACGCTCCCCCCCCCCGGCCCCCCGCAGGCTACCAGCTGTCGGCGCTGGGACCGCAGCACACGCCTCCACGCCTTGTGGCCGGTTCTCTCCCAGGGACCCGCCCGGGCCCTGACCCCACCGCGCACTAGGCGAGACAGAGCTAGCTTATCGCAGGCTGCTGGGCGTTAATACTGACATGAGCGCGGGGGCGACGGGGGAGAGAGCCGCATGCGCTCGGCCCCTCGGCCGGGCTGGTCGTAGAAAACCATGGGGAAAAGCTTCGGTAAACACAACAGGGGTGATGTGAGCAACCCACAGACCAGTCTCTCATGCATCCATACCACAGTTACTGAGGGCGATAACGATAACGATAACGATAACAGAAATCGAAGGTACAGACGAGGGCGGCGGCCGCGGGCCAGGGAGGGTGCGTCTGAGCTGTGTGGGAGCAGCTAGTCGCGCTCCAGGTCCCTGGACTCAAAGAGCTTCAGGCGATCTTGCACCGTCAGGCCTTCCTTCAGACTCTGGTGGAGAAACAGACAGGCCGTTAGCCGGCGGCCCCGTGTGGCACGGGCGGCAGTCCGGCGAGAGGTGCGGCTCGGGGCTCCCGGAGGGTTAGTGGGCGTGCTAGAAGGGCCACGAGCCCCAAGGTGGTGGTGTTACTAAATGAGAAGGAAAAAGAAACAAGACCAATGCTGAGCTTAGGGCTCTCCCGACAAGCAGGGATCAGACCAATGAAGCCAGGAGAGGAGACCCTGCCAAGAACATGAAGATGCCCACTATGTCCGCATCCACGTCTGGTCTCTCGCGACCGCACGCTGGCAGCACCTGCTGCACCGATCACAAACCCTGTTGGACTCTCTCACTGCCCCGGGGATTTGGGAACGTGTCGGTTTGTTTTTTTACTGAGACTCTGAGAACGGAAGCCCATCCTTGTTCATGTGGGACCTCGGCGAAGGTGGGGGGCAGAGGATTTCCTGCTTTACTCTGGGAGGCTCTTCACAGAGAGAGACTTAGTTTCTGGAGGAGAAAAGGAGCATCATCACCTCAGAGCACGACTGGGAACGAAGGTGCCTCGCTGCCATCGGATCTGTGTGGCAAGTCCAGGCTTCACCGAGGCTGCGGAACTGGGGCTGGCCCACAATCAGCAGGTGAGACCGAGCCCAGCCTCCACCTCAGAGCCGGCCCGCTTCCCCTGGGGCCCCAGCTTCACCCAGGACAGCTCTGCTTGCCTGTATTTTTAATTTAGATGCCACTGGTCAGAGGAAGAGGACCAATCCACGTCCCATGCTGACATCCATTAACGCGCACGACTGCCTCACGTGCTCTCGGGACTCTTCCCAAGTGTGCCTGCTGCAGGTCAGGGCTGCCATCTACACGGCCGCTGTCTACACAGCAGCAAGTCTCAGCCAGGGGCTGGGCCCCGTCACCTGCCACGCTGTACCGCTCTAGTTGGGGACTTTCCCTTGGGTGGCAGCAAACCGCCACTGCTGAGTCCTGAGGGACAGAGATTTTCCCTCCGCGCGCTGTCACACATGCTTGGTGATCATCCCTGCTGTGCAGCCGCTCACCACAGCTGTGGGGGCGGAGCCTGAGAAGACCCCGTGCTGCCCCGCACACCCAGCATCTCCGTGACCCCACGCTCAGGACGACCCGGCGGGGGCCTCCGTGAGGACCCCGGGAAACGTCCTCTCTGGTCTCCATCCCAGAAGAGCCCAGCTGCTCTTAGGCAACGAGCTTTCTGACGTGATGGGGGCTGAGCCTTTCTGTCCTTCTGAGGGAGGCAGGTACAGAGACAAGACACGTGAAAAGATAGACATCCGTATACATCAGACCCTGTATCAAAAAGCACCAGTGACAGGTTGTTTTTGGCCAACTTAGTTCCCGCCTTCCTGTGGGAGGTTCCACGGTTTCCAGATACAATCAGGAAAAAGGGCAGCACAGAGCTGTGCAAGTGTCCGTTGACAGCACGTTACAGGCACAGCATCACGGCTGGTGTCCACGAGGTGGACCATAAGGGCCCCAGCTTCCTCCTTGGGCCAGCAGGGCTGTCCCCACACACCGAGAGCACCGCTTTTACGTCGCAAACTTGGCAAGCCAAACTCGGACTCAAACGAACACAACTCTGGGAAACCCTGCTCCTGGGCTTCTCCCCACACTCATCTGGGTCCCGGCCTTGCAGAGAGCCGCAGGCAGACCCTCGTGGGTGTGCCTGACCGTTTCCTCCCTCATTCCCCGGCCTCTGCTTTAGCAAGCTCCTGGCCAGCATAGAAGCTGCCATCTACACGGCCGCACATGTGTGCCAGCACATCTCATGGCCAAAGGCCCTTATTGACAGAGATGTTTCCACTGATCTTCTGGCCCTTTGTCCAGAGCCCAAAGTACTGTGCAGCTTGTGGGATCTTAGTTCCCCAACCAAGGATCGAACCCAGGCCCAGCAGTGAGAGCGCCAAGTCCTAACCACTGGACCACCAGGGGATTCCTGCAAAGCATTTTTATTTCCCTCCCCCCGACACACGGTCGGCGTGATGGGGCGGGCTTGCTGGAGCAAGGCTTCCCTGGAAGGGCCCTAGCAGAAGTGTTTGTCATTTACAGGCAAAAGGCCCAAAGGATTCACGGTGAACTTGCAGCAGCTACAGTTCAGCCTCAGATAGATAGAAGTAAAAATCATCAACAAGAAAACCATAAACCAAGAACACGTTTCCCTTTTGCTAAACAGAATGTTTTTCATGTTTAGAGAAAACAGCCCGAACTAAGTTTCGAACAGGCTTAAACATTTCTGGTGATAAGTGAGCCAGGACTGTAG